ACGAAGCAGCATTGTTTCACTTTATGCTTTTCTGTTTTATTATGTCAAAACAATTGGAAACTTAAATGTTACTGTCTATAATATAATATATTTCCCTTCGACACAACAAGGGAAGATTCATTATTTACAACGTTCCCTGACCGGTGTGTTAGGATTCACTCATGTTGTCGCACATTACTCTTCATGTATCAGCCGCTCGTTCTGGAGGGGGGGGGGGGATAAAACACAAGGTCACACAAGGATAACACAGTCTACTATCTCCCCCCCAAAAAAAGGGGGAGGCTCTGCGCTCGGTGCACCATGAGATGTAGTGGTATTCAGCCCATGCAGGGACGAGAGCAACATCACTCAAGTCGTGTCCGACAGCAGGATATCGATCTGGGAGGCAATTTTATTCCTGCATCAGGAGAAACCAACGGCCGCTCTAATTGTCCTCGTGACCAAATCCTATCGCTCGTGCACATCTGTAACGGGTCGGAGAGGCCGGGCCGAGGGCTGACAACACCCGAGATGTGAATTCAGTGTCTCATTTGTCACTACAGCGAGGCAGATATATACCGGGTATCTTCATCCATTCATAAATCTCTGCTTTATGAGGTGTGCCTCTGGACACCCCACCGCTGCAGGCGTCAGCGTGTGTGTATGTGTACAATCACCACACACATACATTTAATAAATCCACCGTCCTGTTAGGCAGTTTCCTGATGTCTGACTTTTAATTAGGACCTTTAACTCGACGGAGTATTTTTACTCGAGTTTTGCCGGAAGCTCTTTTTTCACGTCCAACGTCCAAACAACCTTCGCAAGTTCAAATGTTGCTCGAAAGCTTGAGGACGTGTCTGCACATTTAAAGGTCTGAGAGCCAAGTCATAATGTTTTACAGTACAAAACCTCAGACCTCATTACCAGTCGTCCCTCGTCCTCCTGCGAGGCCAGAGAGGAGCAGGCACGTGGCTTCTGTCGTCTGAGGCTCACAGCTGGTTCCGACAGCTTCACAGATATTATCAGCGGTGCTGTTGCTGTTTGTGTTGCTGTTGTCGTGTCACTTGATGCTCGTTGTTCAAACACGGCGAAGCTTTAACCGCCGGTGATGTTCACGCAGACTCCATGACAGCAAATTAAAGGCTCTATTGTGAGAGACTTAAAGCGTCTTCCAGTGTTTGTGGATGATTTATTTAAGGCTAAAGATCGGCTTTAGCTTCAGGGATTTTATTTACTCACAAAACCGCTCTTTTAAACACTCTCCTGTTTTTAATGGAGGGGCTGATTATTGGAGGATGTTGCAGCACTGAGGTTTATTCATCCAGAACGATTTTGCATGTGCACTCTCATTTCCACTTCTCCTTTGTGATAT